GACATCACCCCCCCCGCCCCCATGACATCACCTCCCCGGCCCGCCATTGGCGCAGCCGCGCCGCCGCCGCTGATTGGCCCACGGGCTCTACGAACCGGGTACCAGCCCGGTGACATCACACCCAGCTGCTATTTTCGGGATGGGCCTGGGAATAATAATGGAAAACATATTAAAAAGGGGGAAAAAAAAGGGATAAAAGGGAAAGGAGGTGTGTGTGGGGAGATGGATTTAGACCCAAAAAAGAGGTTTTGCGGGAGTTCTTTGGGGAGTGTTGGGTTGAAAGGAGTGTGGGCGCAATGGAATGTGACGTTTGGTGCTCTGCTAGAGCAGGACAAAGCTGGAGAGTGGCAAAGTGACAAAGAAGGGGACATGGAAGGTTTAATAGGCCCTAATGGCATCCCTCACCTCACACCCATGGGGTGTCATCTCCATGACGGGGAGCAACAGGGTGCCCCTCCATCTTCCCAGGGCCAGAATGTGGCGTGACCCATTCCCAGCCCCAGCGGCACATAAGGACTCACTGTCCTCCTCCTACAAACTGGGTAACAGGAGCTCGGAGAGGCCGAGTCCCAAATCCTGAAGCTATTTCAGTGTGATGCTACTGTGGATGCTGGGGCGAGAGGGGGTCCCTGGGGAGACCCAGCAGAGGTCTGACACCTCTTTAGGGCTGTGCCTTTCCCTTAAACTGACTCTCCTTCCCCCAGATCTGCTTCACCCTGGCCTATTTATCATCGACGTCTGTGTCTGATGGTGACCACAACCCCGGCACCCCCTGGGAACCATGCAGATATATTTAGGCACCGGTCTCCTCTGTTATGCAATGAGGATCAGGGCAATGTGGGGAGGTGGTTCTCCCTGGAAAACAAATGTAGGATGGCTTTGCAAAGCCCATGGCTGCAGGACATGAGGAAGGACAGGGTGACCCAGCTGGAAACGGGGGTGACATCACACGTGCTACACTGCGGCTCAGCCATGGGTTATCCGTAACATCCTGCATAAACTCAACATCCTCCTCTCTGCCCAGGTGATGAGGGACCTCTGCACCAGAGCCCCCCGGCTCAGCAGAACTCAGGTGCCCATGCAGGTGTGGGTGCCATGGATGGGATGCCTGTGGGACATGTGGGGAGCTGCAGCCCTGAGACAGACAAGCCAAGGGGAGGAAAGAGTCAAGAGGTAGCGGGCAACTGAGGGACAAACAGGCATTTGGGGACCCATGTGGCTGCAGGATGGTCCCTGCCATGGCTGGCACTGGGGTGTATGGCTCCCCACCGGTGGGGGGGGCACTGGAGATGTTGGAAGCTCTGGGGGGTCCCCTGGCTCCACAGGACCAGCACGTGGGGGGATGGAGCTGGGCTTCAGCCTCTGGAGACCTTGTGTAAGGCTGTGGCTCTGGGGACACTTGATGGGCACCATTCCTGAGGGCTGTCACCCTCTGCCCTCCCAACCATCCTGCTGCCCCAGGGAACTGCTTTTCCCTGGCGGTGTGTTCTGGTGTCAGTGAGACAAGGCACAGAAAAAGGAGACCAAGGAGATTTGGGGCTACCCAGGGCAGTGGGGACTGTGGGCTGCCATGGGCCACCTCTTTCCCATCCAAGCCTTCTCTGAGTTTGGGACCATCTCCAGGATAGGAGGTGGCAGGAGGAGAGGCTGGCCATGGAGCCAGGCTGGTTTTGGGGAGGAAAGAGCCCTGGCATTAAGAGGAGGCCACAGGGGAACCACGGGGTGAAAGGTTTACTTATTCCCATGGCTGCAGCCTTCTGACTTAGGGAAACTTGCTCGGCATCCCAGTGCCAGCATGGGTGGAGCGGATAGGAGAGACAGGGAAAAACAGGCTGTGCTCCATCTGGATGGCCATGCAGGAAGGTCCGGGTGTCCCAGGATAATACCACTATGCCCAGAGCAGGCATGCCAAGGAGACCCTGAGGATGGGGCGAGTGTATTCAGCGTTTTCCCCCACCCTCTCCCATCCTTCAGCTGTGCTCAGGGGGCTGCAGGGCCGGAGGTGGGCTCTGCAGCCCCCTCGCTCCATTCCTCTCCCAGGACATCTCCAACCTTCGCTCCTTCAAGGTTCAGCGTCCACAGATCCTCCAGTGAGAAGACCCGCAGGTTTGAGCTTCCCTTATCCCAGAGGATTCGTGGTCCTGGAAAGACATGGAGCATCCCGGTCACCACAGGTTCAGCCCCATCCGCCTCCCCCAGCACTCAGCACCCGGCACAGGATCTGTCCCCAGGATCCCATATCCAGGGCTGGGCCACCCCAGGAAACCTCCTTTTGGTGGGGTCCCCCCTCACTTTTGCTCCCCACCCCTCCGGGATGCACCAGCCCCAGCGCTGGGTACCCGCGGCGAGGGAAGGAGCCGGGAGGGGGGGGGAAAGGGCGGGCAAAAGTGCAGTTCTCCTTCGGATTGGTCAGAAATGACATCATCGCGGGCCTGTGAGCCAATGGGAGAGCTGCCTGTTGCTCTGAAATATCATCCGGTCCTAAAAACGCTGGGAGGGGAGATCAGTACAGCCTTATGGAGGGGTCTATACAGCAACCCCAGCCCTCCCCTGCTTAGATTCACTGCCCCTTCCCCACCCGCATACCAGGGAGCCCCACGCACATCCGTGAACCCACCCCACTTGCAGGGGCGATGGGATGGATGGGGATGGGGATGAGGATGGGGATCCTGGGCAGCCAGAGGGCTCCCACCCTCAGCATGAGCAGCCAAAAATGAGGCTAAACCAATAAAAATCATTATAATCATAATAAATGAAATCGGGTGTGCCAGCAAATGCTCAGTTCCACGGAGGCATCACCCATTTCTCTGCCTCTGTGGGATAAAATCAAGCCCAGGGGAAGATGCAGGTACCATTTGTTACACTAAAAACTGCAGAGTCTTCAGCAGCCAACCAGTTCATTCATTCATATCTGTTCCTGCAAACCAATTTTTCACCAAATGATTCAGAAAATATCAAAATGCTTCTGTTTCGCTGCCCGAAGTGATGCCTCATTTCACCTTTTATTGCTGTTTTCACTCCGGGCACCTGCTCTGGCACTTGCAGCCACAGGAGGGAAATGTTTCCTTAGGGCCTGACAAAGAGAAATGCCTTCTCCTGCTCCAGCCCCATCAGCCCAGAGAGCTCAATCGGCTTTTCTTGTTCCTAAGTAACACCTTTCTAGTGCCTAAACTGGCTGCAGGATGCCCAAATTTCCGGACACTGCCAGTTCATCAGGGTATGATGAGCAGCATTAGGGTATGGAGCAGGGCGGGAGATGGGATGCCTGTGCTCAGTTTCCTCCTTTCCCAGTATCCAGGGATATTCAGTTGGGAACAAATAACATCAGCTGAGGTAAGGAAAGTGGAGGAGCCCCTGGGTGGCCCCCGCACTGCACGCCTCCAACTCTCCCTGTTGTTTTCCCACCCCCAGCTCTTGTTCCTAAGGAGCATCCTATGCAAATGGTGAGAAACCATGGAAACCACCCATTAATATCAGCATCCTGACAGTGAGGTCCTGGTGCCAGGCAGTGAGGGTAGCTCAGTCCCCCAAGCACCCTCCCTTTCCCCAGGGCCTCAACCTTCAAATCCCAAGGGCTCACCAGGCTGGAGGAAAAAGCCTTTTGGGCACAAATAATATCAGGCCATACCCAGAAGGGGGTTGTAGAGGCTGTTTTATGTCTCCCCCCACCCCATGTCTGAGCCTTCTCCACCTCCAAACCCCAAATGCACATCATCACCCAGCTCTGGGAACTGGGGATTTATGGAAAAGCCCCTCAAGGGGTGTAAAGCCATGGGGATAAGGGTTGGAGGGGAAGGATTCTTACTCTCAAGGATGTTCCCACTAATAGTTTTCCTTGAAGAGGGGAAACACAAGCTTGTGCCCAAGACTAGCCAAGCTGTGTGGGATTTCCCCCTCCCTCCAGTGCTGGGGCATGGGCCACTGTCCCCTGCTTTACCCACAGCAAGGAGACATGGAGCCCTGCATGCTGTAGCACTTGTATGAACTTCAGGAGCCCCCAGATGGTTTAATTTCCTATTTACAGACCCTTGGGAGAGAGATACCTTCTCCCCAAAGACTTCCCAGCTTTGATCCAGGAGGGAGAGGGGCAGGAAAGGAACAAAAGTGATTTGGACACAGAGAGATGCAAAAGAAAAGCAAAATGTTTATTAATGAGAAAAAAAATAAAGACAGTACATCCATACATTCTTTTTTCCCTGTTCTGTTGTGGTTTTTTTTCCTGAGGAAAGCTAAAAAAGCACCAGAAGAACCCCAAATATAGGTAGAGGCAGTGGTGGCAGGAGATGGGGGCCACTAGACGGGCACATCCTCATGGACACGGACCCGGAGGGGGCAGATGCGGAGCGCATTGGGCATTGTGCCCACCGGTCTACCCCCAATGTAGAAGTAGGGGAAGACGGTGCCACCGAACTTCTCATGGAAGGTGTAGATGTGGGTCTTGTGGTCAGCATCATAGAAGGAGAGCTCCCCCTCGTCACAGTCCAGCTCCACGCGGATCCGTCTCACGTTGCCCAGCGCTGTCTCTGACCGCGCCATGTTGGAGGCTCGGCACAGCTCGCTGTCCTTCCCGGACAGGCAGTAGATGTACCAGAAGCCGGAGCGAGCATCGTGATGGAAGGTCCAGTGGTTGCCACTGCGCAGCCGGGCCACCCCCACCCGCCAGTTCTTGATGGCGCCCAGGTCCACCTCCCATGTGTGGAAGCCGGTGGAGAAACCACAGGAGCCCAGGATGCAGGGGGCTGAGGTGAAGCGCTCGGGGTTCTCCACCAGTAGCTTGTAGCCCCCGTTGGTGACGCTGGTGAGGTCCTCGGACACTGAGAGCCAGCCCGCTGCCGAGTTGGGGTTGAAGCTAAAGGGGACTGTGGTGGGGATGTTTGTTAGAAGCCCAGCTTGCTGCAGTGATGAGGTTATGGGGGGGGGACCACAACCCTGAATGCACCCATCCACCTATCCATCCACCCACCCATCCCTAACCCAGCTCACCATGGAGAAATGCACCTTTTGGGGTGCAAGTGCCCCAGAGCACCCTTTATGCTCTCCAACCCCCTTCCCCAGGCCCACTAGCAATGGTCATGGCTGCTCCATGCTCCTCTCTCCAGCACCCACTGCCCCTTGGGCTGTCCTATACAAAGGCTGCTTTAGTCCTGGGATGACCACCCTTTGAAGGGGATGCAGCACCTCACCTACGGTGATGATGTCCAGCATCTTCTTCCACACATTGTACTGCAGTGAGCCCAGGTACTTGGCAACATCAAGAAGCATCCCTGACTGCACAGGCTCCGGCTCTTCAGCTGTGCAGGCAATCCTAGGGCAGGGGCAGAGGATGGACATGGGTCAGGGATGGAGGAAGGGACTGGGCTGGGTCTCCTGCATTTTAGCTGTAGCTTCCCCACCAGCAACCCCACATTTCCCAGACCTTGCTCTCACTGCAGGAGGGTCCCAGCACCAAATCCTCCCCACATCAGGGTTCTAATGCTTTCCCCAAGACCTGCAAAGCTGCTTTGTTTCTACACACATGCACCCCGTCCTCCTGGAGGCATCTAGGGATGCTGCCGGGCCTCGGGGACCCCCCAGCACCTTCTTGTGCTGGAGCACCCATACCTGAGTGTGGGTGCATCCATTCCCATACTCATGGCTACAGGGACTTGCCTGGGGCAGAAACCTTGCAGAGAACCCCAAGGAGGGGATATGGGGGCTCAACCACCCAACCACCCTGTGTCACCAGGCAGGGGACACAGCAAGGACCAGGACGACTTACCTGCGCTTGCGGTTCTTGTGGGTCTGAAAGAGAAGGAAACACCAGGCATCAGACCCTGACTTGTAAGGGCTCACAGGGGCTTGCACACACCCAAAGGATCACCCAGTGCCCTGCTCACACCCCGGCAGAGGTGCCACAGTGTAGGGCAGCACCCCGGCAGGACTTTACCATGAGGAAGGTGTAGTCATCCTCCTTGAGGTCCACCTGGAGCTGGCGGGCTTCGTTGACCAGGGCCCGGCTCTCGTCTGCCAGCTGTTTCATCTTGCCCTCAAGGGTGCTGCGCTTGTGCCTTGCCTCCTCCTGCAGCTGGGCCAGCAGCGCCTTCTCCTCCTCCCGCAGGAACTCGTGCAGCTTCTCAAACTCCTTCCTGATCTGCTCCTCCAGCCGCACCGCTTCCAACTGCCCAGTGCAGGGATGTTAGCCCCTCCATTTGGAGCCCCTCGCTCCCCTAGGCTCACACCAGCCTCCCCATAAACACTGCCCCAGAGTCCTCCAATCAGCTCCAGCACTCTGGGACTCACTGGGCTCCAACTGGGACCACACTGCCCTCCCAAAATCCCCAAATCCCTACAGACACAGCAGACACAGCCCCATCACCCTGTTCCTCCTCAAGTCCCCATCCAAGTCATTCCTCCCCCATCATCGCCTTCCTTACTCAGGGATGGAGCATCCCAGGATAGGTGCAGCGTTCCATACCAGAGCCACCTGTCCTCCTGCCCAGGGTGTGTGCATGCACGTGTGTGCATTTGCACACGTATGCATGTGCTTGCACACATGTGCCTGGATCAGGCCCACTGCCTCCCTGCTCACAGTGACCACGCACCTGGTTGTGCTTTGAGATGGACTCATAGGAGCGATGCACAGCCCCGAAATCCTTTGCCTTATCCCGCAGGGAAGTCTCCATGTTCTTCAGCTTGGCCTGTGGGAAGGAGACATATTCAGGACCCTCACAAGCCTGCACCCAGGGTTTCCAGTGCAGAAAGACAAGAGCCCCAAGCCCAGTAGGATGAGGTGAAGCAGGATCCTGATCCATCCACACTTTTCCCTCCTGCAACTGAGGTCAGCTCTGCACAGGGCCATGCAAACACACCGCTGCTGCGAGGCAGAGAGGCTTTGCTCTGTGACGAATCCTATCTGCTGTTTTTAAGCACTTCTACTTAATGCACTATCAAGTCCCTGCCTGCCCTGGTGCTGCAGGCAGCCCGCCAAGCCTTGCAAAGCAGCAGCCCCACGTCTGCCCCGCCACATTTGAAATCTGGCTCGTCCCTGTGGGCTGAGTCAGGGCAGCAGTGGCTGCTTTCCCAGCCAGGAAACACATGGATCCTGGCATGATGCCTGGCTGCTGGCCGGAGCCCATCTTTTCCTCCTCCTCCTCCCCCCCATGCAGCTATGGCCCGTCCTGCCCCGCGGGGCTCAGGGCTGCCTCCCCATCCCACACCCCTCCCTGGCTGGGGGAATTGTGCAACCCCCATGCCAAACATGCTCCTAACCCCAAGGCACTGCTGCAATAACCAGCTGCTGCAACAACCAGCGTGGCTGGATCCAGCCCAGCCCAGCGGAGGAAATGCAGGGACCTGGCTGCTCTCCAAATCCCTAAAGCATCGCCCAACTCCCCTTTCCCGTGGGGCAAAGCACTGGGTAATTACTGTGCAGGGAGCGCGTTGGGGGCACTACCGTGGCACACACTCTTGCAGCGTGGCAGCTCCGTCTCTCATCCCAGCACACTGGAGAGTACGATCACACTTTGGCATGAGTTAAAGCCATGCGGTGGCAAGTTGGTGCCCTTGTGTGTGCAGGCTGGACCCCTCCAGATGCTGGCATGCCTCCTCCCCACCATCCATCTGCCCTCTATTCCTAGAGCATTCCTCACCCTGAAATCCTCTGCCACCTCCTGCACCGGCCGCATCTTGTGCCCTTCGTGCTGCTTGGAACTCTGGCAGACGAAGCATGCCAGCTCCTTATCCTCCAGGCAGAAGAGTTTGGCTTCTTCATGATGCACGGGACAGAGGGCGGCCGCCCGGCCCTGCCGCTGCCCTTCATCCTTGAGGATCATCTCCACCAGGTTGTTGAGTGTGTGGTTGACGCGCAGGTCGTCGAAGGAGGAGGGCTCCTTGCAGACGGGGCAGACGTGGCGCTGGTGCTCCCAGGAACGGCTCACGCAGCCCTTGCAGAAGTTGTGGCCGCAGCAAAGTGTCACGGCTTCCCGGAAAGGCTCATAGCAGATGGGGCACAGCAGTTCCTCCTTGAAGGT